GCCCGCAGCCGCCTCCTCCCAGGAGCCGCCCGGGCCCACCGCCTCCGCTTCCCGGGTGCGCCAGAACTTCCACCCGGACTCAGAGGCCGCCATCAACCGCCAGATCAACTTGGAGCTCCACGCGTCCTACGTGTACCTATCCATGGCCTATTACTTCTCCCGCGAGGACGTGGCCTTGCACAACTTCGCCCGCTACTTCCTTCGCCAGGCCGGGGAGGAGACCCAGCACGCGGAGAGGCTGATGAGGCTGCAGAACCAGCGCGGAGGCCGGATCCGCCTGCAGGACATCAGGAAGCCCGACCGCGACGACTGGGAGAGCGGGCTGCACGCCATGCAGTGCGCCCTGCTCCTGGAAAGGGACGTGAACCAGGCCTTGCTGGAATTGCACAGCCTGGCCTCCGACCGAGGGGACCCCCATTTGTGCGACTTCCTGGAAACCCACTACCTGAACGAACAGGTGAAGTCTATCAAGGAACTGGGGGACCACGTGCACAACCTGGAGAGGCTGGGGGCGCCACACTCCGGCCTAGCCGAGTACCTTTTTGACAAGCACACCCTGGGGAGTGAGGACGAGAACTAAGCGCAGGCTGCCTTCCCACTGCCCGGGGCACCTCAAACTCACCCCGTCGTTATCTTGACTCCTCTGACGCTGTTCCACCAATAAAGTGATTTGTAGAGAAAATATATTTCGCCCGTTTTAACAAGGGCTGTCTGGCAGCATCAAGATACTTACCCATGGCCTATTCCTTCTCCCGCGAGGACGTGGCTTTGAACAGCTTCCCCCGCTTCTTCCTTGCCGGAATTGCACACTCTGGCCTCCGACCGAGGGAACCCCCCTTTGTGTGACTTCCTGGAAACCCACTACCCGAAGGAGCAGGTGAAGCCTATCAAAGAACGAGGGGTCCACGTGTACAACCTGTTGAGGCTGGGAGCCCCTCAAAGGTAGCCCAGAATATCCTGGTATAAAAGGACTGTGACAAAACTACTGAACCGAGCTGCCAGCTAGCTTTCCCCAGGTACCAAATCCTACTGCAGACCATCAGACACTAAAGCCATTCTTTTCAAGACATGAGCGGCTGATGTGGGAAAATATGTCAGATAAATATACAAATACATACAAGATAAAGAGTGTGTATAGAACTGTCAAATGTATACATGCACATCTTTGGGCAGTGTTTATTTACCTTCTCCCAGTGTGTTCCAAAAAACAGTCATGTCTGGAGATGATCTGCTTTTAAAAGATTTTATAATCACATAAATTCAGGATTCTCTGCGTAAAGTACGGGTGCTGGCCTGGGAAAGTCACAGCAGGTATTAGCATCTTAAGGGCTCTGGGAAGTCTCGCAATTAAACATATCAAAACCAAATGAAAAAGTTTGAATTGCTTTTCTTTGCTCCATATTTCCCAAATACATGGGATCTCATAGTTTCAGGGTGTTTTGCTTTGATTTTGTTTTTCTTTTGTTTTCATTGAATTTAAACAATGATTTCATTATATTGTTACTATTATTTTAATTTGCTACAGGGCACATGCACTCACCAGAGAGAGAGAGAAAGTGAAAACGCAAGTCTGCAGGTCCAGGGCTCGAACCATGGCTAGCCATGTTGGAGTCCAGCACCTTAACCACCACACCATCTGGTGGCCCTTCTGTTTTCTTTTCAAAACAGGTCTGTCTGATTGGAGATTTGAGATACACTTCATTATTAGGCTATATAGCCAAGCTTTAACATACCCAAAAGAAAAAAAAAAAAAACATGCATATCTTCTTCCTGTGGTCTTTAAAATGGAAGGGGAAAATATATTGGGGTGGAGAATGTCTGGAGTCAGAACAAAGAAGGCATCTAACCCAGAAGATGTTTTCTTTAGAGGGGTTGGAGAGATGGAGTATTTGGGAGCAGGCATCGAACTGGACTAGAACACTGAGTGCTGGTTGGAAAGATAGGCAGGAGGCTAAATGGGGAGGTGAGGAGTTTGGACGCCACTCCCTGGGCAAAGGTGATGCCTTCAAGGTCTGGTAACAGAAAAATGCTGTGCTAAGAGCTAAGCAATCAGGAGCCTAACCCGGTTGTACAGACTGAGTCTGAAAACAGCTAAATGTCTGCATCGATTTGGGTCCTCTGAGACACAGAAGTGAAATGAGATTAAGTGCACAAAAAACTAGGGAGACAGAAAGGCCTCTGAGAGAGAACCGGAAAGGAGCTGCGAGAAGCAGGGGAGCTCTCAGGTGTCACGGTAGTCTGATCTCCAGGGAACAAGGAAAGCAAGGTGGTGTCCAGTTCTACGGGAAATTCTGCAAGGCTGTCAGGGAGTCTTCCAGCCAAAGCCACCCGTCAAAAGAATTCCAAGTCTCCCAGAAACGAGCCTGCCTAAGTTCCTTTCCCATACTCAGTTATTACTGGGAGGTGTGGACTTGCAACAAACTCAACTCTTGGAGCACAGCGGCCGGGGCCCTGGTAAATAAGTCTCCTCGCAGTCCAAGACCTGAGGGGCATGGTACAAGACTACCCAGAGTCAACAGGGCGGCTACGATTTCAGCACTGTAAACGGAACAGCACTGCAGTTATTGCTAAGTGTGATTTTGACAAAGACATGATGTGGCCAGAGGTTTACAATGTGTTATCTAAAAAATAAGCAATATTTCAAGTAAGGGTTCCATTATATGTCTCTGTATCTACACTCACAGAATATGCAAATATGGTGAGGGGGACGGTGGCACAGTAGTGATGCAGCGCTCAGCCAGGCTGACTGCATAGGAAGGTTCCAGGCTTGCATCCAGAGACGTCCCTGAATACTCGGGGCATGCATCTGGGGCTGGCTAAGGCTGGGGTGGAGGACCCTGCTGGGGATAACATCTCTCTCTCTCTCTCAAGTGTGTGTAAAATGACTGGAATTATATATACCCCAACAAATGACACAAGGCAATCTTTTAAAGAATGAATCGTGGTTGATATTTACTTTAATTTCTTGTCTTTTTCAAATAAATTTCTTATCATGGACAGCTACTGTTACCGTAAGTAAAGCAAAATAAAAGATGAAGAGAAATGTGATCAAGGACTGAACCATGATAAAAATTAATAATAATAATAATGGAAGGAGAAACAAAGCTGATCAGCGTTTCCAAGCAGAACCATTTAAATTCTGTGACCCACTGAACGGAAGAAGGGACAGATAGAGGAGGAAAGCTGATGGCTCTCAAATCTGGGTACTGGAGCTCAGAGCGTTTGAGACTAGAAGGAGGAGGACTGACTGGAGGTGGAGGGTGCATAATGATTTGGGCTTTGATTATGCAGACCAGTCTCTATGTCCTGTTTTCCTGAGGGTTTTTGGTTGGTTGGTTGGTTGGTTGGGTTTTTTGTTTCTGTTTTTGTTTTTTTGTTGTTGTAGTTTTTGTTTTGTTTTGTTTTGTTTTTGTTTTGTTTTGTTTTTGCCAGAGAGCACATGCCAGAAAGGGAGCAGAGAAAGGGAGAGAGCACCTCCCCATGGAGGATGGTCACACTACAATCTCTACCCCTCCATTTCTCCCGCCTATGGGGATTTGGGGAATGCACATACTTGAGCCCAGCCTGTTTTTCAGGACCCGGGGTCTAGGACTCTTTCCGTGAGGTCACCTATGGGTGGAATCCAGTCACCTTAACCACCATGCCACCAGTTGGTCCTACATTCTATTCTTTTTTATTTTTTTAAAGAATTATTTATTTAATTTTATTCTTATTGTCATTATTTATTTTTTAATTTGCTGTAGGGCACATGCACTCACCAGAGACAGACAGAGAGAAAAAGAGAGAGAGAATGAAAACAAGATCTGGGACTTGAACCATGGTCAGCCATGTAAGAGTCCAGCACCTTAACCACTATGCCTATTTCGCTACAGAATAATAATATTACATTTCTTTACAAAATTTTCTCTTCATATTTTCTAAATGACTGCCCTTCAAACTACACATTGCAACCATTGGTGTATCATGAAGGTACTTAGTCACCGTCCACCTTCCAGGGATAAGACAGAATTGACATGAAACTAAGTGAAGTAAGGCTGTACTTCCTGAAATTCTTGTGTCAGTGTGTGTGTGGGGGGGTGGAGGTGAGTGTGTGTGTTTATACTTATACAGTTACATCCTGGGTGGCATTATTTCTTATTCTGTGTTATTGTAAGTAACATTCAATAGTCATTCTCTTAGATAATTATTTTAAGATTCTCCTCTCATCTGAAATCTCCCAATCTTCTCTCCTCTCAGTAGATAATCCTCTTACTTCACTGACAAATTGAAAGTAATCACAGGAGAACTTCACACTTGGCTGTCGTTGAGTTAATCAAAGACTTACACCTGTATTCACTCACAAAGTTTTTGTTCTGCCACAGTAGTTGAAAATTTATGTTGTCTCCTAAAACCAACGCAATATCCTGAATTCTAACCTTCCCACTTACACAAGGACATAAGGATCTCTCATCTACAATGTTTCTCTCTGACATCAGTTTTCCCCTGTTTATTGGTTGGTTCCCATGAGAATGCCCACATCGTACAATTTCTTCTCATCTTTAAAAACTAAGGCCATCGTGGGGCCTACATCCCTTCCAGAAAATATCAAGCTGCCACCTTTTACTCATCTCCCCTTTACAATACAACTTCTAGAAAAAAATTGTTTCTTCTTCCTGTTTCTACTTGTTCTGTTCTTTCTTGATCCCCACCAAGGAAGGCTATGACCTCTACCATACTAGACTTTTGATTTTTACTGTCAAGGTTATCAGTGACTTCCATATTGAATGCAATGTTCATTTCCCAGCCTTCCTCTTAATCAACTAGCAGAACCTGACCATTCTCTCCTGAAACACTTGCTTATGGTTCTAGGTCTCAATGTCCTTCCAAATCCCCCCTCATCTTGACCTTTAAACACTGCAGTATCCCAGAGCTCAGTCCTCATATCTGGATTTCTCATCTTTATATTTGTTCCCTAAAGATCTCATTCAGCCTAGTGTCTGATGAAAATACACATCTATTGACAAATGGCATACTTATGTAGTTTGCTTAACCTACATGGCTCCAGACTTAAATATCCAAATATTTCATGTATACCTCCTCTCAGATGTCTACTAGACATCTCACAGTCAATACATTCAAACCATACTCTTGATCGATTACTTTCCAAAACCTGTTCAACTCAGTCTTTTGCCTCATAATAAATGGAAACTCTACGCTGCTAGTTTCTATGACCCACTCAGTCTTGGTCACTGTCTTTCATACAGTCTAGTCCTTCAGCAAATTCCTTCAGGTCTTGCTTCAAAGTAGATCCTGAATCTTACAACCTTTCTAACTTTATCATTACCCTTTTTGTACAAGCTCTCAGTTTTTTCCTGCATTATTACATTTTAAGTCACACTCTTAATGGATAACACGGCTTCCATACTTGAGTGCATATAGTCATTTCTCCACAAAGCAGCCAAGTGTTTCTTTTCCATTATAAGTCATATCTTACTATTGCTCTGCTGAAAATGCTTCAATAGCTTCTCTTCTAATTTTGAGGAAAAGTCAGGGCCAAGGTCCTCACCATGTCGCATCTGTGGCCATCTGTGATCTAAGTCCCTGATTTCTCTCTTTTTTGTTCAGGATAGAGAGCATGTACATGCTCATGAAAAAGAGAGAGATGTGGTTTGGACAGGATCCTATCTCACTGTGATCTCCTTTCCTTTCCCCAGCCCTGCAGCTCCTCAGGATCTTGGGAAAACATGGAGTTTCCCAACAAGTTTTCAGGCCAGCCAGGGAATCCAAACCTGAATAAGCCATGTGGCTTCCAGCACTGCAGCTCAGTCTGCTACCAAATTACCACCAGGCTGGGCCTAAGCCCCTACTATCTCTTTGACTTAGTATCTCTATATGTACTTTATATATGTGTATGTGTGTGTGTACAAGAGGTAGCAAGATTGATTGTAAGATTTTATATGACATATAAATAATGAGGTCCAAGAGGTATCATTATAGTCTCTCTCTCTCTCTCTCTCTCTCTCTCTCTCTCTCGTGCTCTCTCTTTCATACACACACATACACCACTGAGAGACCCTACGTTATCTCTACACTGAGAGAACATATCCTTTGCTAACTAACTCCAGTTCTATTCCCCACTGTGCACCTCGGGGTGTGTTCCCTCTTTCAGGAACACTTTGTCCCAAATAAGAACATGATTTGCACTCTTTCTTCCTTTTTCTGATTGTATTTCATAGAGATTCATCACGGATTATGCAATCTAAATTAGTTATTGTATTTGCCATCACTTTCTATTCTCTTAATTTACCTTTCTCAATAGCACTTACCATCACCTGACAAATTATTTAATTATGCTTTCTTTTTAATTATTATTCATTTTTC